CTGCTGATAAATGATGGAGAGTGGCTTGGCGAGCTCCTCTGCCAGCTCCCTCAGCACTCTCGATCTTTTCAAATCTTTTCAAAGATTTTTCTGTAGTTCTTGTTAGTAGAATATGAAGATTTCACAAATATTTATATAATTGTAATATATATGTGAATAAATACATAAATATACAGATATCTAGAATTTCAACTTTTGAAGATAATAGCATTCCCGTTGAACACGTGGGTGGATGAGTTACAGACAGACAAAGAAGTTAAAAAGGAGGGGATCAGTCAATAATGGGTGCTTGGTTTGATATACATGAGGTTTGGGGGGGGGGGTTCAGTGTAAATAAATATTTATATGGATTTTCGTTACCTTCAAATGCTAACTATGGATGCCCGGCATTAAGTTTTCCCTGCCACTGTTTAGAAAATGAAAAAGACCCAGCTAAATAATCTCAACACAATCACATCTCAAAATACGGGGTTTTTTGCCTCAACTAACTGTAAAGCTCTGAGGGATAGAACCTGATCTTACCGCGTTCAGTAGAGCCCCTGTACTCCTGCTTGTAATGGAGATTGAGAAGTGCACATGGAACATATTCTTTTATTCTGAGGGGATGGCAGCATGCCCCAAAATATAAGCAATAAAAGATCTGTTTAAGGAAAAGATGTGCAGGCTTTTAAATACAGACTAAACAGTGTCTTTTCCCCAGCCTTATTTGTGGAACTGATTGAACAGCTTGGCTGAAGTTTTCAAAGGATGTAGTATGAGGCAGAAACAGAAAAATTAAAGTTGCATTTTGAAAAGTTACAGTTTTTTAAAGGTGGAAGTATTTGGATATAGGATCTTATAATAGTAGCCATCAAGCACCATGAATAATCCTCAGAATCAGCAGTCCTGGCATGTTATTTCAGCAGATCTGTGATGTAAGTAGTAATGTCCTCTAGAAGTGTATCCATCATTTTATGCACATGACTTTAACAACAGAAACTCAAATAGTTAAACTGATGATTACAGAGTTTAATGTTTTGCTTACACTTGTATATTATAGACAGTGCACATTTTAATATGATATTTTTAATGAGCATTTTTTGTTCTTGCTTTTAGGAGCCACAAAAATTGTTCCTGTTGAGGCTGCTCCCCAAGAAAGTGAACCCACAACTCCAGAGGCAGCAGTTCAAGACTCATCACAACGAAGAGGATATCAAGAATATGCCATTCAGCAAACCCCATATGAACAGGCAATGAAATCTAGCAGGTAATTTTGAAGTACTTATATTTATGTTCATGCAAAATATGACGAAATGCTTCCCTATCCCTTTTCATGAACCTGAAATATTTTCTGAGCCTTTTAAATAAAGGAACAGCTGAAAATAATCTGTGCATAAGCTGTAGAATTTAAAAAGCCTGTGGAGAATACCTTTTTAAAATAAATTAAGTAAACATTTCTGTCCATTATGATCATCTAGGAAAATGTTGACACATTATGTCACTAAGTTTCAATACTGTAAATATAACTGGTTTGGTTTCTTTTTAGGTTGGGTCCAACTCAGCTGAAGATTTTTACATGTGAATACTGTAACAAGGTGTTCAAATTTAAACACTCCCTCCAGGCACATTTGAGGATTCATACAAATGAAAAACCTTACAAGTGTTCATACTGCAGTTATGCCAGTGCAATCAAAGCCAACCTTAATGTTCATATGCGGAAACATACAGGGGAGAAGTTTAGCTGCGATTATTGTACGTTCACTTGTCTCAGCAAAGGTCATCTCAAAGTCCATATTGAAAGAGTTCATAAGAAAATTAAGCAGCATTGTCGCTTCTGCAAAAAGAAATACTCGGATGTTAAAAATTTGATCAAGCACATCAAGGAAACACATGACCTTCAAGATAAAAAAGTGAAAGATGTTTTTGATGAGCTTCGCTTGATGACACGAGAAGGCAAAAGACAACTTCTTTATGACTGCCATATTTGTGAACGCAAATTCAAAAATGAACTCGATCGAGACCGTCACATGCTTGTTCATGGTGATGAAAGGCCTTTTGCTTGTGAGCTCTGTGGTCATGGAGCCACTAAATACCAAGCCCTTGAGCTTCATGTGCGAAAACACCCATTTGTTTACGTGTGTTCTGTGTGCCTGAAGAAATTTGTCAGTTCTGTAAGACTCCGTGCTCACATCAGAGATGTGCACACAGATTTGCATGAGACTTCTGTTTTTAACAGTTCTATCAATCAAAGTTTCTGCCTCCTTGAGCCAGGAGGTGATATCCAGCCGGAAGCCCTTGGTGAACAGCTAGCACAAAGTGCAGATGAATTGACTATCATGAGTACTGATGCTATTAACACACCACAACCATCTGCTTGTAAAGGTGAATCAACAGCTGCAGATGTAAACCATAATGGTCAACATAATGGTGACTTAAAAATTGATACAGTCCCTTTGTTAGAATTTGAAAATCCTCCAGTGGAGAATGTAACAGAGACGCTGTGTCAGACAACAGACATAGCAGTCCCAAACATTCAGTCCTGTGTAGCATCAGATTGCTTTCTGCTGAAAAATGGTACTTCTGGTTCTGATGAGTTAAAAGTTTCTCCTGCAAATGAAGAGGAAGTTAATCACTGCAGTTCCGTAAATGAGCAGGGTGAAGAAATTCAGCTTTTGCTGTCTGAAGACAAAAGTTTAAATCCGAGTCAGAACAATTCAATAACTGACAACCTTTCAGTCTCTGAAGAGAGAAATCAATCTTTTCCTTCTAGTGAATCAGAAACAAGCAATCCGCCAATTCAAAATTCAGCAGAAACCACAAACCCTTTGCCAGCACTAGAAGCTAATGCAGCCATCAGTCCACAGGCAGCCTCCTCTAATGCAGTTACATCAGACAGTGGGAGTGGAGCTGTTGCCTTTATGCAGATCTTGGACAGCTTGCAGAAGAGACAAATGAACACAGAGTTGTGTGAGAGGATAAGGAAAGTTTATGGAGACTTGGAATGTGAATATTGTGGTAAGGAGTAATAGAATGATGTTTTTTGTTGGGTTTTTTTTAATGTTATATAGTGAGCCATCTTTTTCCTGCTCCACTGGTTTAGTTTTTGATATGTTTGTGTGTCTTTGTAGCAGTATTAATTTTGTAGTTCAGTATGGATTCTGGGGTCCAGCGAGATTTACTTTGGGCTGTATAAATAGTGTGAAATGACTCAAATCTCCATTAAAAAAAAACAAAACTAGTGGAATATAGCATAGCAGTGCTTTGCTAGGCTCAATTTTCTGTTGATGTGAAATTTGATAGAATTAGATTATTTCTGTCCATATGCCCCTCCCCACCTCATAACTTTCACTAGGGCCAAAGACAGCAGATTTAGGCATGTGATCAGCATTAGTCGGTCCATGCTTTAATGCTTAAGCTTCATTATCAGCTTAGTATAAAATTCAGAGTCTTTTTCATATAGTGTGGAAGGATGTATGATAATACCTATTCTGTACAATAGATACATATACTGGCATATTTTTTTTACTTGTTTTGAACCAGTTTTTTGAGATGAAAATTTTCATTGCATAGTATAAGATCAAGACTGTTCTGACTGTATTTGGTTTTCTGAGTTTATGAAAGTGGGAAGAATACACCGTTCCCATTTATTCTAACTGAAAATGTTTGTGTTTGCATAGCTGGAAAGGAAACAATTTGGGATTTATTTTGTAGCCTTCATTCTTGAGAAGGGAAACGAATCAAAGTTTGAAAAAATAAAAAAGTTTTTCAAACACCATAACATTGTATGTTAGATGAATCGCTGTGCACCTTTTCTTTTTTGTGCCATTATGTCAGAAAAGCTTTTAGGAAGGAATAACACAAAAGAAAGTAAAAAAGATTTTGACAATCTCTTTTAGTGTACAGTTACATTCAGATTCTTTCTATAGGAGAACAGCTTTAAAGGACTTCATTAGGAAAAAGATCATTGATACGTATTAAAGTTGCTCTTGTTAGTCTGTTTCAGGACATATGACATAATCTTTTTAGACAAAAGTGGTTTTGTAAACATACTTTCAGTAGTGAAGGGTCTTTAGGACAAGTTTTCATTAAAGACAAAAGGGACAGGGTTCAAACTGTGTTTTGCCCAAAAAGAAAACTAAGTACATGTTGGAATTTTCACTAACAATTGTTTAGAAATTACTTTCTTCGTGTCTAATTTTATTTTCAGGCAAGTTGTTTTGGTACCAAGTGCATTATGACATGCATGTTCGTACGCACACTCGAGAACATTTATATTACTGCTCCCAGTGCAGTTACTCTTCCATCACCAAAAACTGCCTTAAGCGTCACGTCATTCAGAAACACAGTAATATTTTGCTGAAATGTCCCACAGAACATTGTGACTACTCTACTCCAGATAAATACAAGCTCCAGGCACATCTTAAAGTTCACACAGAGCTGGTAAGTAACAAGCAAAACAGTATGTTTGTCTAAATTCAGTGTCATCATCATAATGTTTGGAATTGTGTGGCAATATTTGAAGACATAGGTAAGAGTTCTTACCTGAGCGCTCTCTGCATACTTCTGTAGCAGGAATGCATGAGTTACAGCAACTAGATATTTAGTCCCTCTCATAGTAGTTTCCAGTAGAGTATGTCTCTGTCCATTTTCTCCCTTCGGTTTTCCCAGTATTCTCAGATTCTTTGGATCCTGAGAGAGTAAAATGAGGTCTGGTACTATTGTTACTTTACTTCATTCCTTGGAATTCAATTCCCTTCCTTCATAAATAGATGATTGTGAAAAAATGGAAATATGTTCCTCTCTTAATTACTATAGACAGAAGAAGTTTAAGTTGTTGAAAAGAATTTTTTTTTTCCAAATAGCTCCAACTAGTTGCAGCCAATCTCTTTGAACATCTATCATTTTCTGTTGTGGTTACAAAGATGAAGAGATCATGTTTTAAAGGCTCCTATCTTACTCAGTAAGCCTTCCAGCTCTGAATTCCATTGTGTGAAAAACAGGTCTGGTCTACTTCTCCAACGTGCCCTGTTACATGTTTTCTTTGCGACTATGCAGGGGGCTGCATGCCTGACTGGAAGCCCTCTTTGTGCAAGACACTGCTCTGTGATCTTGCTCTGATCCAACATTATCACGTGAATAATCTTTGGAGGAAAAATGTTTTCTACATCAACCCCCACTTGCATTTGTTTCAAAAGTATGTTTTAAAAAATATATTACGGTATTCGAATAAAAAATATTTTAAAACTAAGGAATGAGATTTTATTCTTCATTGTTGATTAAGATGCTTTTTTAGAAGTGAAACTATTTACATGCTTTTCTTGGAAGATTAAGAAAAAACAATTATTTTGTTTACGTTAGTGTTGCCTTCTTTTCCTACCACGTGGCAGGATCCTTTCTGCTTGCAAGGTATAGTTGATCTGGGACATTCTAGACTTGTGTATACCCAGAGAGGTTATAATGTGCATACACTCACATAGTGTATGAACACAGGTAGGTTCCTTCCCGTTCCAAACTGACCTCTAGAAAAGGATGTTTGGTAAGTGTCTGCTCTCCCGGAATAATGAATTTAGTCCACTTTTGACTGTAGTCTTGCCTGAAGGCCATACGGAGTGCTTAGGTGGAACATATGACTTCATACAATTTTATATGAAGATACTGGTATTGAATAAAGTACAGTTTAGGGTTTCATAAAATGTTTGACAAGCATGCTATTTGTAATTAAACTTTCTTGACTGATAATGCCAGAAAATTGGTGTGAACTACAGCCTTGCAATTTGGGGTTTTAATAATTTATGCAGTAAAATATTTCCAAAAGGTGATTTACCCTTCTCCTGAATTTATTTTTATTCTTATTCCAGCAGAGGAGAAAATACCAGTTGTTCAATTGCAACACTCACTCTTCTATCCTTTAAGAACAAGGAAATACTCACACAGATGGGCCTTTCTTCCTTCTTTCTACAACATTATGGTTTTCGCTGGCATTGTCTTGTAAATAAATCTTACGCACCCTTGATAGAATGCACCACATATGACACATTCCTCCTAATCACATGAGAAAGCAACATCACAACTCACTTAGTCCTGTGATAAATATTGTTGTTACACTTCCTTTTACTAGAGAAATGTGATGCTTGAATTAAGGATTTATGTTAATTTTTCCCCAGATGTGGACAGTTTCTGCATAGGTACTTAAACAAGCTGTTACCATACAGTGCCTAGTGGTTTCAGGTCATCTTCTGCAGTCAGCAGGTGGGCTCTTGGCCGATATTTCCAACAGCTGAAGTTACCTTAAAGGTGTTTGTAACTGAACAGAACACTTTACCTCCTACTCTTGTTAAGTACTAGTCTTCTGTAACTGCAGGACAGCTTTAAAAAAACAAAACAGATGACACAAAAGGGAACATTTTTTCCCCCAATTCTGTAGTATTTTAAACAGAATCTGAATTTGTTATGAAATGTGCAGAAAGTTCACATAATAGATATTCTTTAAGGCTGCTTTTGAATTTATTATGTTTATGATGTCCTGATGGCAAAAATGTGTGTAAATGATATCTGAGACTACTTAAGAAAAAAGAGCCTGAAATTAGATATCCTTACGTAAGTACCTGTTTTTCAAGTGTGATGAATGTCCAACAGCTCCCACCAGGAGGATCATTTTCATGATACTAAATAGAACCGAGAAAATGCATTTCATAATTAAAAACAGTGTGACAGTGAGATCTTTCAGAAGTATGCTTCTGATGCTTACTGTCAAATATATCTGAGTATATAAATGGATTGAAAAATTCATGTATTAGAATTCACTTAGTAACTAAACTTGGCAGTTCTCATATTGGCCTTTGTGCCCACTGCTTGGTGTATTTACTTAATGCATACCTCACTGAACAGGACCACTCATTCCAAAATACAGTATTTTAACAAACTATGCACAGTTAAATGTAGAAAGCTACTTTAATGTTAATTTTAGTTTGCAAAATCAATTCTTAATAAATATTAAAATTAAAGCTTCCCTGGAGATAGAAGATATCAAAATCTCAGTTCAGTTTCTTGTATGAATGCCTATCTTCTGTTACCTTGTTGCTGGCTGCTTTTCAACTGGATCCCTGTCTTATTTGGTGAACAGGATAAATGATGTTTATTAAAAAGCAGCTTACTGTTCATCCCTGTCACTCAGTATATAGCCACCCATTTTATTCTCTATGCACCATCCAAGTCTTGCACTGAATTTGGGATTGTTTATTCCCTGGGGGATGATGATGGGGACTGTGTATGTGCTGCCTGTTGCCTCAGTATTGGCTACACCTCATTGTTACGGGGAAGATTTTTACTTTTGAAGTCTGGGAATTGAGACTCAACTTCATTTAAAACCAAAATTTTGCATATATTCTCTGATTTGCAGTACCTGTCTGTTATCTCTAAGGCTTGTGTAGTGGTTTTTGACAATTCTTGGCATTTATGGAACTCTTTAGAAGTTCAAACCATGACATGTGTGATGAATCCCTTCAATGTCATAGTACCTAGGAAAGGGATGGGCAGTTTATGATGACTTTAGAATAATTTACAGTTATGAATGAGCTAGTGGTAATAGTAGGGACATGCTGATGTAGGTACCAGAGTTTGTTTACAACCTCCAGTGGGTTTTGCAATACTCGGTATGCTGAGCAGATAAACATCACAGAGAGGTTTGTCTCTCAAATTATTTTAAATCTATATATGTAATTGATACTGCAAGGTAAGCACCTCTATAAAACTGGAGTTCAGACCCAGAACCACCACTTGCTCTTACATCTGCTTTCACGTACATTTTGGGATGTAAATGATTCTTGTCTTTGGAAGGATGCTTAGAAATTTCATTATGCTGCTGACCTTTTGTGTAATAGCGTAGTTAGAGCTTTCTGTAGGAAGTGAGATACTTGAGCTCTGATTGCTTATTTCCCCTTCCTGAGGAGTGCTCATTTTCAGACCGTCACTGGGCTGGCTGTGATACCTTTGCCTCTGGAGCAGTGCCAGTATGTAGTCAAGAATGCAAGGTACTGGAAAGGGAGGGAATTAACCAAAAAATCTATGATCTGATGATCGGGCACTCAGTTGGAAAATGGCTTTTGCTCTTGGTCCTTGCTTCCATAATGAATGTCAGCTACCCATTCATTTTTACTAGTGGTTATTTCACGAAAAAATGCTTAAGCAGTACTGTATGCAGGTGCTTGTCATTTTGTGAGCTGTTTGGTCTCAGGTCAGAAACTGGTAGCGTCCAGGACCCTTATTCTCCTGTTACCTCCAAATTTCTCTTCCACAGTGCAGGGGTCTGTCTCTTTTTGATCCAGTAATCTTCCTTCCACGCTCTTCAAGAAGTTTTCTGTCCCCCTGAAATAACTAGTGAAATATCTGTTTTATAGCTTCAGCTCGCCTTTTACAGTGATCTCTTGGTAGTTTGGTAGGTGCACATCTCCCACCAGGTAATATATTATCTGGTTATCTGCCTAGTTGTCAGGACTAACTAGACTTCACTCCATCTGTTGGTTTGATAATCCATTCATATGTTAATCTGGTCAGTGCAGAGGTGACTAGATGACCCACTCATTTGATTGAGCATCCAGTCTGTTGTGTCATCAGGTGCTTCTGGAAATAACAACCTCTTCAATTTATATAATAAGCAGCAAAGATTATTTTAACTTGGGTAATTTACCAATTAATGGAGAAAAGTCCTACATTTTTATGCGGAGTTAGATGTGTTTGTAAAAACATTAAAATTACAATTACACTAAAATTGCATATAGGAAGAAATTGCATCAAAACTCTCCAGTTCAACTTGTTTGATGGTGCTAAATCTTTTATAACATCAGTGACACTGATAAAAGCCAGAGTAGTCTGTAAGTTTTTAAATCAAAGTAGTAGAATAATACTTTATTGGTAATACACAAAATGCTGAATATTTATGAAGTAGTTCGAAATAAGTAACGGCATCTGTCATTGTTAAGTTTTCTGCTCAATTTCAGGCCATTAAGTAGTAGTATAAATACACGTACTGGTGGATGTCTTCAGAATAATGAGATCTCATCCTTAGGTTTCAGAAGAGTGGACTTGTGAAGAAACTGAAAAAACCCTGAATATTACTGCTTATATCAAATATGTTTTCTTCTGTTATGTGACTTGATCTTTCAACTCTTGATTCTCCAAAGAGTCAGTCAGAAGATAATGCTTACATTTATTGTGCATATTCTCATGTGCTGTAACTTGGAACCCTTCATTTATGAGGATTAATGATGTGCTTAGAATACTTTCATATTTCTCCTTCACTTACTTCACTATAAATATCTTCATTTTGTCCTTAAAAACTGAACCTTCAATTATAACTTTGTTGAGAACCATGTATTACTGAATGACTATAGTGATTACACCAGTAGACTGATAATGCAATCTCTTTCTTTCTTGCTTGCTTGCTTGCTTGCTTAAGGATAAAAAGAGTTATTCCTGTCCTGTGTGTGAGAAGTCATTTTCTGAAGATCGACTTATAAAATCTCACATCAAGACAAATCACCCTGGTAAGAAAAAATCAAGGAAAATGTCTCAGTCTATTGCAATAAATGGATAAAGGTTTAAAGTGAGCAGTGTAATGTGATTACATTCCAAAGAAAGAGAAGAGTCTATGTCTAATTTAACTGGTTTAGAGTAAGAATTGTATTGGGTTTGCAGATGTTAAAATTTAGAGTGAAAGAAGTTATTGTTCCAGCTTGTGTGTTGTGGAGTTTATCAGGTAATTGTGCTAAGAAATCTGTCTTCATCTGGCAAAGAACTCATTTCCAAAAGAGGACCTAGGTGAATTCAAATTAACCATTGGGAAGTTTGGAATATAGACATATAGACATCCTGTAACAACCTATGAGACATAAATTTCCCATTGGCCATACATAAACTGACAGAAATGTGTTTATTGCACATTATTTTGTCTGTAGGTAATTGACGTGAATGCAGAGGTCCCTGAGCTTACTCTACGCGTGCTCAGTTACTGTGTGGCTGGGCTTTACCTCCAGGGCCAACTGAATTCTGCAGCAGGGCTCTTACTAGAACCAGCTGTGATGTAGTATGGCCAGTATTAAGCTGGAGCTGACCAGCCTGGCTGGATCCAAGCTAACCACTGCAGTCCATTCAAACTCTGTTTATACCATGCATTCTAGGGCCTTGATATATCAGTGCAAGCACACCATAAAATGAATGCGGTAAGTCAATGTGCTGTGCCTAAGTAAACAATCCTTTCTCAGATCTTGGGAATTCAGTGACAAAGTGCTCAAGTGACTGGTGCAGGGACTGACTTAAATCTGATTGATGTGAACTCAGCAGAGACGCATTGGTGTGTCTGTACTTTCCTCCTCAGTATCTGTGTTATGTTGGATAGAAAGGCCCACTGCTACTATGGATGAAGGAGAATTGACTGCATTGGCCAATATAATTTAATTAACTCATTTACAGTGTTACTTATCACCTGACATAATTTGATATTAAGAAAGAAAATACTGGCCATGCTTAAACTGAGTTTGGGGAAGAAAAAATCCAATTAAAATTATGTAACTTTTCTTGTCTTTGTCAGAAATAAAACGTAATAGGTAAAGCAGTAGTTTCTTATCTTCCTACTGCCACTAGATAGTGCTAGACCCGTGTTTTAAACAATTGCCTTCACTTGAATTTCAGACTAACTCACACTTTAGCTCTTTAGTTACCAAACCTCTTTATTTGCAGACCACTCCACAACAGTGTGGTTGGAGGGCTTGTCATACATCAGGGGACATGTCTGATGCAGCAAATTGAGATGAGGAAAGGCTTCTGTGCTATACTGTAGTCAGGAGGTATGTCACCCAGTAAGCATAGAAATTGAATCTCAAGAGCTGTGCCTATAAAGCCTTTGTGCTGTCTGAGCCAGGGAGTATAGGAGGCCTCCCTAAATAATGTGATCTGTGAACTAGCAGTACATGATGTACTGTGCCTTTACAGGTTGCCGTTGGTCTGCACTGGTCCATTGACTGCTGAATTATTAGTGTATGCTGTGTCTGGGATCCAGAAACACCAGTTAACTGTGGAGCCCTGACGTGCTAAACTCATGCATTTAAAATACTTTTTAACAATTCATTTGGTATCTGTATCCCTCTAAAAGTATAGTGTAAATTTGTTGATCCAGGAAAGTGGTTCTTTTAAACTCTGGGTTATAATAGAGGTAAGGTTAAAAAAGAAAATCTGCACAGCCTATTATTTTGTGTCTTCATTTTTAATTCATATATCACAGGCAAATAGAACTTAGAAGCAAAATACCAGATTTATTAGATATATCTCCATGGTACTAAAGAAATACTACACATAAGATATGCCTATGCAGTAGTTATGCAACAACACTGTTTAAATACACGGGGGAGAATTAATGCACAAATCTTTTTCCTCTGCATGCTGTCCTTGTAATCAGGAGGAAATCCTTTATTCGTACAACATACTTAATTACAAGCCAAATAAATATGAGGGGTCTGATGGTATAAGCTATCAAGTATTGCAGTGGAATGAGTGCAATTGTTTTTAAAAATGTAAATGGAAAAGAATAAAGATGAAAGGAAAAATGGATCCTGTTAAAAGGAATTGAATTCTAAAACGACATATCAAAAATTAATTTAAATTGAAACCCTTTCATATTTATCATTAAAAGGCTATTTCTGGAGCTCCCCTCTCCTTCCTTTCTTAATATCATTCAGCATGACCCCTCTCTTGTCTCTTCTATTTCATCAAGTAGAAAGTATGAAATAAAACAGTACTCTTTCCTCTTTTAGGTTTGCAGAGAATAGGAGTTGAATTCTGGTCCCGTGAAGGCAGTGGGACAAAAATCTCTGTAGACTTTGGTAGAGCAGTATTTCAAACAAAGAGATAAGAGAGCTTGGCTTTATTGCCAAATGATTTGGGTTCTCAGCAGTGAAGGAGGAGTCTTGGATACTGGTCCTAGCTCTCAGAATTATCTACCTTTTCATCCACTGTCTGATTTTAATATGATATTTGTTAATATTCAACAATATTGACATGAGAGGCATCAGCTTTCATAGATCCCTACTGAGCAGACATACTAGCATGCGGTCATGAGTGAAGGATCTAAGCCATAGAAGGCAGATGAGAGTTCAGACTTGTGTCTGTATTTTTCTTTTTTGGGTACTTTAGAACATATCTCTGCTCAGTTCATGGGCTCCTATATCTCCCTTTTGAGGTTGTTTTCCTTGTGCATATGAGTTCAGGCAGGATTTTTGATTGCATTCTGGGACCAATCATCAGGAGACTAGGTATGACAGTTCATATTTGGTAAATATCTAAGTTTAGACTGTAACTTTCAAATTTTGTAAGATTTTTGGCATAATAAGTAATCAGCTTTCATGTCTTAATGTTTAGATTGCATGAGTGCTGTACTTTTATTGAGTCATGATATTTAGCATTTTATTTATCTGAAATTCATTGAGTAACTGGATTTATTTTTTAAAAGCATTTGGATGTTTTCATTTTGTGTGTTTGGGACATTTTAATTTAAACTTCATTATTTTGAGCTTTTTCACTGTGACAACCAAAACATTAGATTGTATGAAGGAAGAACTTAGAGAGCTGAGTGTGTTTAGCCTGAATGAGCGAAGGCTGGGAGAGGAATCTTAGTTGCTGTCTTCAGCTATCCAATAGGAGATTAAAAAGAAGACAGAGCCAGTATCTTCTTGGAACAGTGAAGGGACATGAGTTGAAGCAAGGAAATTCTGATTAGAAATTGGGAAAATAATTTTTACTGTAAAGATGGTCAAACACTGGAATGGGCCAAGAGGGGCTGTAGAATTTCCATCCTTGGATATATTCAGAACAGGACTGGATATGACCATGAGCAACTTGATGTAACTTCGAAGTTGGAACTCCAAAGTTGGCCCTGCTTGGAGCAGGTGACCTTAGAGGTCCCTTCCAATAGCATTTAATCTGTGAGTGTGTTTTTTCCTTTAAAGTTTCTGATTATCAGGCATTCTGATCATTATAGCTGTGGCTGAAGTGATTGTCTTCAGATCCTTCACATCTGGAAATCTGGGGTGAAATCGTGAATAAAGTCTTTTGAAAATATTGAAGAAAAAAGTGCCAAATTAGCTTATTGGGAAAGTTCATAGTTGGAACATGATTTCTAAGCCAGTGACACACCCAAGACTTTTTTATATTTAAAATATTTTTTTTTTAACCAGGCAGTGGGGACACTGAGTACACAGATCAGGAGAGAAAGGACAGAACATCCTAGAAGCCCTAAAGGAAGAAAGGTCCTTATGTTCTTTGCTCAGGTCTTATCTGAGTGGCAGTAGGGGAAGTAGAGCTTTTAAAAAGTTGGAGTGAATCAGGATCTAGCTCTTCAATATTACTTATAGAACAAATTCCCTCATGTCCTTCTGGTTTTTATTACCTTTTACATTTCTCTCAGAGGTTTCAATGACTACTATTTCTGAGATTCTTGGCAGAAGAGTTCAGCTGAAAGGACTTATTGGAAAACGAGCTGTGAAATGTCCCTACTGTGATTTTTATTTTATGAAGAACGGATCAGACCTTCAACGTCATATTTGGGCTCATGAAGGTAAAACTCTGGTTTTAAGCTTTTGGGCATATAATCAGTCTCATTCCACACAAGCTTTGCTGACATAAAAAGGAATTCAAATTTATTGCTATACCTGAATCAAAAGCTTAAAGCTACAGTAGAGGTTAAATAATTAGTTTAATAGATTCCGGATCACATATGGAACTGCACGCTCATAAAATGAATAGACAGCTTAAATGTTTTATAAAATTAATAAGTTTCTGATTCAATTTTTTCCAAAACTCATTCATAAACATCTATAAAGTATTCTATAATAAATGTGAGTAAGGAGAAGTGAACTAAATACATGCTCAGTCTCTTAAAACAAGTAATTTTCTGCATCTTCTCATGAATAACTGCTGCTCCTTTCACATTTGTCCAAAAATACTTGGTCTGGAAATCTATTAGTAAAACAATTGAAATCCAGTTGCTTTGATGTATACATATAAATTCTGTGTGTATTTTAATTAAATCACACTGAGCATGGCAGCTAGCTGACACGGACATAAACAGTGATGAAAAACCCATAAGATAATGCTGATCATATCTATGACTTTTTAGGGAGAAATACCAGTGATATGGCAACACACAGGTTAAAAATCCCTTGAACTTAAAATCTATGCCCAGTAAAATCTTGTGTCTACCCAGTCTGTCTATTTTTATAACAGGTGGAAGACCACTCGTATGCTCTTTAGTCAGTTAATAATCTATGGAACAGATTGCCTATGGCATTTGAGCATTATTTTGGATTCTTTAGCCATCCCTCTGCATGAAGGGGATAATGGGATATGGTACTCTCAAACTGATACTTTGGTTCCAAAGTGTTTGTTCCCATGCAGATAGTTCAGACATTTATACTAGTACTGCGTATTTGTTTGAATGCTTTAACTATGAGCTTACCTGCCTGTGTACTATAGTAGTGGTCCTCTCCAGTAGCCTTTACTCCATTAAGGAGTTTAGGTAATGCAAAATTGTAGGCTTAGAGCAATTACTTGTGTATTCCATAGATACAGTTTGTTTATTCTGCCAAGAAAGCTTGGAACCCATCTCATCTAACTAGCAGAAGAAAGAGGTGAATAGAAATTTATTCCCAAATCAAAGTGTGCAATCAAGTCTGCTTAAAGTAGGCTATAATTCCTCATGCTTGTAAATCTAGTTTTAAGGTCATGAATATCAATCTAAACCTGCCAGAGCCTCATGAAACTGTTGAACTACTCTGCCAGTTCAGATTTATTCAACTTTTCTTTGAAGGATTTACTTTGTTCTTGTAGACCTTCTGCTAGATGACATACTGTGCGTCTCTCTATTACATGCTTTGGACTGTTTGAGAGAGGTGAAATTGTAAGTGCTTGCATCTTACCGAGGGGGGGGGGGAAAGCTACTACTGCGTGAGCCATTAGCAAATCTCATACTAACAATAAAACACAGCTTTGCACATTTAACTTCCGCTTACATATTAAGTACCTAATGAACCAGTCCTCCTTAAAACAGGTTTCTTCATTCTTTATTGTAGTAAATAGAGACTGATAGTTATCTGAAGACTTTTAGAGGGAGATTTGGTATGTACCAGCTAGACATCAACTTAGGCAGTCTGGATTCTACTTTTAAATGAAGGATGGACACACCAAGACCAAAATATTAGTATTTGCTTTGTTAAACTCAGTACCGGGCTTCAATAGGGAAGTATTTAATTCTAAAAGAACCCCTCCTTTCTCTTAGTAAGTTAAATGATGCTGTCAAGAGCTCGGTATCATTTACACAGAAGCTACAGATGAAATTTCTTAAATGTAGATTTCCAAATTTTAAAATGTTGACCTTGTTGTCCATGTTGCTCACATGATCTTAAATTTCTTTCAAGCAAATGTCCACTCTCTCATCAAAAGGTACAGCTTGTTTGTTTCAGAGTATATTTTTTTATTTTTAGGTGTCAAACCCTTCAAATGTTCTCTCTGTGAGTATGCCACCCGCAGCAAGAGTAACCTGAAAGCCCATATGAATCGTCACAGCACTGAGAAAATGCACCTTTGTGATATGTGTGGGAAAAAGTTCAAATCAAAAGGCACTTTGAAGAGCCATAAACTCCTCCATACTGCTGATGGTAAGTGCATGTTTATTAAATCCAAGTTTATTTTAGGGCAGTAAATACTGGCTGTACAGTCCGTGAAAGACACAGACCTGTTGGAGCGGGTCCAGAAGAGGGCCACGAAAATGATCAGGGGGATGGAACACCTCTCCTGTGAAGAAAGGCTGAGAGAGCTGGGGTTGTTCAGCCTGGAGAAGAGAAGGCTTCGGGGAGACCTTATTGCAGCCTATCAGTACTTCAAGGGGGTTACTAAAAAAGATGGTAGCAGACTTTTTAGCAGGACCTGTTGTGACACGACAAGGGGGAATGAAGCACTGGAAGAGGTTGCCCAGAGAGGTGGTGGATGCCCCATCCCTGGAAACATTCCAGGTCAGGCTGGAGGGGGCTCTGAGCAACGTGATCTGGTTGAAGATGTCCCTGCCCACGGCAGGGGGGTTGAACTAGATGGCCTTTAGAGGTCCCTTCCAACCCAAACTATTCTATGATTCTATACTATAGGGCTTTATTAACAAGCATTTTTCAGTTGAACACTGAGTGCTACTTACAAATTTTGTTTATTCCCAGGAGACATTGTTTGTGAAATAATTCAAAACTTTGCAAAATTAATTTCTGTGAAAGACAGCTGTCTCTGGAATACTTGATTTTTCTGAAATTTTGTGTTGGCTTTATATCCCTACAGAGAATTGTTGATCTCAATAGAAATTTGAAAATACAAATAGTTCCATGATTAAGTCTCTTACTGCTTTCTTCTGTGAGAATATTGTTAGGAGTTGCTGAATCCCGTAGCCCAATAGAGGCAAGGCTACTGCAGCTCTGTGTCCCCAGGTCTAGTCAGCCAGTGGCGAGCCTGAGCCTGTATTCTCTATAGGCACACATGCAGCACATGCATTTGCTCCGTAATTTTAATATTTCTGTGATGATAACAGAAAAAAGTGAGATACAAATTGAGAAAAATACCATCTTTTATATCAAAATTTGGGACACAACAATACTTTATTCCTCTGTGATTATCAAATTGAAGTAAATAATTTAGCAGGATAAGTTGTACAGACCTTCATTATGACTTAGTACCGTGATCTTTGTTACTCATGCAACCTTGTGAAACCTCATTCTACTCTGTATTGACCATTTCATTTAAAGTCTTTTAAAAAAAATTTTGCATATTCATTAGCATTGTCCTTTCACAGAAAGCACACAATGCTCTGTTACATCTTTAGAATATATGTGAAGTTTTTGTATCAGAGATATTTATTTATTTATTATGTTTATGTAAAGAGGTGATCCCTTTTACATTCGCATGATACATATTACAGGAAGCATATAGTTACTACAGTATTGCCAAAGGTGCTGTAGTATTACCATGAGTTAGTAAATCACTCGTTACTCAAAAAGTACTTGCCAATATTTTGAAATAACTTGGTCAGTAACAAGCAGGTGTTGCACATACGTCTAAACTTCATATACAAGAATCAAGGTTTTACTTGCCAAATGCAATCCTCAGCTGATTCCTGGCTGGGAGAAGGAGGCAGGTTGTATTTGAATTAAAAGGAAATTTGGAGCACGATCAGACTATAAAGAAAAAGAAGGTCTCTTTGTATGGTGCTGTAAAAAAATCTCTGCATGGGGTTTCATTTCAAAACCTTTCTGTTTTGTTTTCACCATCTGGCATGTCCAAATAGTGAAATTCAGCAATGAAAGTTGAATTTGTTTTTACCTGTGAGTTAGTTCTATTTCTTGAACAAAATATGTGTTTGTAAGTAATCATTGCAATTCAGCTGAGGCTGCTTTGGAATTTGGAACGGTTAAGAATAGCACTATAGTCATGCAGGAGCTAGCCTTGTCTGGATTTGGTTTAAAGGTGTGAAGTTAGTTTTAAACATTTAATTGCATGCAAGGAACTGTATTCTCTTGTCATTTTCTGCTAGGTCAGGCTGAAACCTTGACTCTAGAGGCAGTGTTATTACCAGGAGCCTTTTTTATCTGGCTTCAGACTGTCATCATCTTCTGCAATAACTGAGGTGACTGCATGTTCCTTTTTGATGCACCTCCCTTTTTGACTGATACAAATAGATCAAAGACTTAACGCTCTTTTGCCTTGCTTTTTACACTTCCAAAAGTGTTCCAGGAAATTCCCTGTACCTTTGGAAAATGCATTTTGCCATTGGCTCCAGTGGAAACAGAATCTCACTGTCTGTGGAGTCTTAAGTAATTTTCCTCACTAAGTCCACCCCAGTAAACTTTTCATGCATTTCAAACACTTGTGAAAAATAAGATAACATTTGTCACCAGGAATGTAGTGTATGATTTGTCAAGGGACTTTCAGCCTCTTGAATGCTGACAGTTTCTCTTTGCCCAGTGTCCCTTTCTATAGTGACAGCACTTCAAAAGTTCTTACTAGTGCACATCTAGTGTTCTTCAGCTATTTCACAAATAAATGAATTTGAAAGACGTTTCGCTGTTTATGAGTCTTGACTTACGAATCCAGGCAATTTTTGTTCAAATATCAGCCCTGCAAGGTCAGTTTAATCAGTGGAATATAAAGTAGTTTTCTGTCTGCTTTATTCTTCTCCAGGAGACATCTTCTCAACAGTGGCATGATAGAAAACAATTCCATAGTCCAGGCTTATTACTGTTTGTGATAAGCAATAAAGCAGAAAACCTGGTTTTCGTTATTTTAATTAGACATCAGAAGTTGTCTTAAGGTTTTTCTTAGCTGTGTTTTATGGAAACTTTCACACTCAGTATAAAATGCTCATTAACTTTTTTTAGCAAGATCCAGAATCTAAAGAAACCTGATCTCTTCAGGATAATACAGAATATTCTGTATTGTACTTCTCCATCCTTCCTTTTGGTTCTTTTGCTTTTGGAGTAGTTTTTAGCACATACTTATTCTACATCAGTCAAATACAGTTTGCCAGCCCTGGGCATTTAATACAGGAATGAAGTCTTTCTGTATTTAATACACCTTGTAATTTGGCTGGAGGTAGCAGGACTGATATCTTAAAGACAAAATATGGGGAAAGGGAGTATGAAACCCAGAGAATAAAAGGAAGGAAATTGTGTTATTTTAAAACATAAGGAAAAAAAAGATTTGGAAGAGAGAATGCTTTGAAGGGAAATTGATAGAAACCTACAGAATGGTAATATGTTTGGGAGTTTCACTCTCTGCAAAGCTTCAAACAGCAACAGATGTTTCTCAAACATGTCAGAGAGAATTCATTCCTGTTAGAGAATCCTAACAATATAACATGAGAAAATCTGACCATCTTGCCTTAAGAAGGACTAATGATTTCAGGGCCAAAAGCAGACTCTTACGATCAAAAATCTGATCTCTTGCAGAGTACAGGCCATAACCAATCTAATAATTTTGCATCACATTTCTGCTGGATTGTAGTATATCTTTTCAGTAAGGGCTAAGCAGACTTGATTTAAAGACTTAATATGACAGGACATCCAACTGATTTCTAAGTAAATTGTCATAGTCATTAATCATGCCCTCTGTTAAAAATACTGACTTTATTTTAGACTGAATGTTCTGAGCATCAGCTTTCATTAGTTGAAATGCCAGTTCTTGTTCTTCAATTTTATTGTTGCTATTTCAGGTTGGAGGGTTAGTACCTTCAGTATGGATGTCTGACTAGAAAGCTCATAGGCATGTAAAGAAATTCCAAGTATAATGTCTTGTCTGTGGAATTTAAAGTAATACCTTTCTTTGGATGATACTTCTGAACTGAAGTAACTTTTTTTTCCCACAAAGCAGTATATATAAATTGCATTGACTCTACTTAATTGCATTATGTTGTGTAGAAGACCTGCTTACAATGCAGACTTTCAGTCTGCCAAGTACCTGGGAGACAGAGACTGTCTCAAATCTTTCAATGACTTTTTAGGTCGGTATCTGAAGTAGCAATGTTTATGCAAGTATGCACCCATTGTCTTTACCCCTCCTCTGGTCCACTCTATGATTTTTGAAACAATTGGTGCAGAAGAGTAGAAGTCCAACAGTTACTTTAACTCCATACATTTTGAGAAAATTTGTGCCCAAATAAAATGAAGAAATATAAATCAGCACTCTCCAAGGAACCTACCCATTATCCCTAGTGTTTGGTAGCCACCAGTGTGTAAGTCACCGCATATAAAGCATGAACTAGTCCCAGTATGTGTTTTCTCTTGCCTTGTGTGACTGTATGTGAGACTTAGGGTTACTGCAGAGATTTAGATGAGAAAGGACAAAATGTCATGATGAACAAGGCAAGCAGGCATCATTCAATCCGATGTTGATGGAGCAACTTGCGCCCGTTGATTTAAAATTGTGTAAGCAAAAGTGAAAGGTCAAAACACAAAACCTCTATATTATTTGCCATTCCGATCTTATTTTTGTCCATAGCACATTTTATTTCTCCCTGTATCCAGGGTTAAGCCAGTGTAGAAAACCCTTTTATGATAGTTTGAGTCATTATTGGAAGAGTAGTGCTAAACACATAACCAAATCTTGTGGTAAAAATAATAGGTCATGTCATACCCTACTAGAAAGACATCAAGAAAACTTATAGTGGAAAAACCAAGAAGTTTTAAACGTATTTGAATCATAACTATTCAGTGCTTGGGACAGAAGTCGGTAAAAACACGTGAACATGACTAAACATCTGTGTTTAAAGGATTTCCAAATTTGCTTTACAAATAGCAAAATAACTGTGCCTGCAGTTGTAAATAATTTATTTTCGTCTTCCACTTTGGCTGCACTATAATGATTCTTTTTCTTCTTTCCCAAGTGACTATCCCAGGAGCAACTAGACTATTTAATGCTTAAAATTTAAAGATGGCACTTGAGCCTTTTTTCTTCCTTACTCTGCTCTTAACTCTATTTAACCAAAATTTTGCAGAGCAAGTGCCGTACTTCTAGTATTGTTCATTGTTCATTCTTAGCATTTTGGAAATCATCTTTATGAGGAAATATAATCAGTAGTTTTCTGAACTTAAATAGAAAAATGTTATTCCATTTCCTATTCTCATTTCAGGAAAGCAGTTTAAATGTACAGTGTGTGACTATACAGCTGCCCAAAAACCACAGCTCCTACGTCATATGGAACAACATGTCTCTTTCAAGGTAAGAAAATATATAAATCATGCTTATTGATAAGTCATTTAGAAATACATGGAACTTCAGACAACAGTTTTAAAACTGGCACATTTTCCTGTTTGGTGACAATTACAGCATCTTAACATTTTAATATTTTGGGAATTTTGACTTTATATTCAGACTTTTGAGATGGGGTTATTTTGTTGATGGACAGTTTGTAATTAGTATCTTTACTTGACAAAAATACGTGTATGTTGCAATATGAAACAAACTGTTGGTTTTTTTGACTGTCCGTCCTTGAGAGTCCTAATCTAATATGTACCTTAAAATGTGCTAGGGAAGTAGGAGAGTAAATCCCATACATCACTGTTCATTGCCCACCTTAATTTTCTCTGAAGGTTTGCCAGTCTAATGTACTATAGATGAGTTCATATACTTGAAGAAAATTGAAGAGAATTAATTTTAAAACACCCCGTTTAGCTGAAACGTGTCTTGGAAAGAGTTTTGAAGATTGTTAATGTTTCTATGAAGTTTAGTTTATAGTGATATGTGATATGGTTTATTGTAATAAACTGTAGTATGATTTTATTTCTAAATTTCACATTGGTTCTCAGCATGATAGGTCTTGATGTAATGATTGTTAAATGTTATATTGAGGAAGTAGAAATGATACTAGTTTCTTTTCCAGAAAAATCCAGTATTTTGTATGTATGAAAACGTTCATTTTAATGTAACACTTTATCTTGTCAATGAGCATATTTCTTACTGAAAACATCATACTATTTTCATGTGCAACATCTTTCATTATCTAACAAATCATTTTGCTTCGCTAAAGAGTATGCTTCAGCCATTCTTAATAAGTACCAATGCTACGTACCTCCATAAAGCAGAAAGGAAGACAGTCATTTGATTCATGGTTTAAATTTTGGAAGAGAAGACATACAAGAAAATGAAGCAAGTCATCTAAAGAGATGATACATTTTGAACAAATAATTTTTATTTCTTAAGTATGTAGTTTTGCTGTGGACTTATCTTTTTAAAAGGATTTTTTGTAAATGAAAATACATAATTTTCCTTTTCTAATGTCTAACGGGATGCATGTACTCATAATGCAGTTCTTGAAATATAGCTGGTTCTGACCTTGGGATCAGCTTTAGAACTGTTGACTCAGCACCTCTTTTCAGTCCTCTGTCAGCCTGCATGTAAGTGTGGCTATTCAATGCATTATCAAGAGAACTGCACAACACTGAAGTAGGTCAATCAGGAGTATTTGTCAAAAGGAGTTTGAAAACTGTTAGTAACGTGTTACCTCCTTCTGGGACAGTTGTTTGCATGCATACCAAACTTGGAGGAATGTCAGTAGTTATGTGACCCAATGATAATTTAATCCATCGTATTTCCAAGCTCCATGAATTTGCAATCCTGCTATTCGATAGCAGGTAACATACAGGACATGGAAGTATGTAGAGAGTGGTACAAGAACACAGCAGTCTGTCTGGATTATTTTCTTGAAAAAAAGACAGTTTCAGCAATAGAAAAGGAGAGTACCCCACTCTGAAAAATTGAATGGCTGAATGTTACAGTACCTTCTGAATTTTAAGGTTGAGGGAATCTGAACACCACTTTTCTTCCTTATTTTTGCTGTTTGGAGCCTGAAGGAAGGTCATGAGCAGCAAGCTTAGGGAAATGTTCTGGTCAGTGGACCCTGACTGCAGACATTTCCCTGCTTTAGATTCAGCTTCTTAATAAACATTTCTGTACCAACCATTTTCTGCTGACTAGCTTTAGGTGGGCCTGGTTGCTGTGCATGAAACATTTTGCATCCCATTCTGAGGTACTTGACTTTTCCCCGAGGACTTTGGTCAATGTGTGCATTCTTTTCCAGGACCCTAATGGTTGTGTCAAGCTTCCTGTAACTGTGACATATCTCAGTCAGAAGGTTATTCTCAAAGGCTAGCTTTAGGCACAAATGCTTGTTTTCCTAAACTTTTTTCTTTAGAAATGTCTTTCCCTGTCAGTTGAAGGGAGACCTATGTTCTTAAAAATTAATTAATTTAGTTCCCAAAACTTAGCTCACCAAACGGTCAGATGAATGCAAGTGCCAGTGAAAGGGAAGCAGTTGCAAGCATGTTGGAGAGAGAAGGAAAGGAAAGGGAAGAGATCAACCCTGTCAGGTACGGTTATCTGTTAAATTAGGTTGGCTGTACAATCATATTGTACCTTCAGTTACTTTAGCTCTCTTACTCCCCCTTTTCAGACCAAAGCTCACGGCAGCTGAGTCATTTCCTTGTAGTAGAAAGTCTCCACGTGGTCAGACCTGTGATCATCAATTATGAAAACACACAGTTTACTGAATTACGAAAAGTAGGTAATAATCTTATAATGTTGAGAATACTTGGTGTCTTGCACATAATAAAAAGTACCAAATCTTAGGTAACGTTTAGTTACAACTTCCATTTATATTGAATTTTGGAAGGTCTCCTTGGAAGGTGCCTAAACCAGAAATGAACATGGTTTCTCGGGATCAAACATTGCAGCTTAGACCTGTGTTCTAGCATTTTCCTTTTTGCTTCTAGCCTTTCCGTTGTGCACATTGCCACTATTCCTGCAACATATCTGGTTCCCTGAAGAGGCATTACAACAGAAAGCATCCTAATGAAGACTATGTAAATGTAGGTTCTGGGGAGCCTGCAGCAGAAGCCCTTATCCAACAAGGTACATCTCCACCATATAAGACTTGTTATTTTTTTTGCTGAAGCAAACTTGGTGTAAAGGTAAACTTTTGTGCGATATGTGTTCCTCAGTTTATGGGGTGTTATGTGATAAATCATTACTACTTCTTAGTAGTTCTGAAATGGCCACCATTTATACTTCATTCAGTGTCCTTTGTTCTTGGTTTCTAAGGGTGGATGAACGAAAGTTTTGATTTACCTTGCCTATGCTATTCATTGTTGCATACATTTATCTTTTTCACTTGTTTGTCTCCTTTTGTAAGTAAAGTGTCACTGTGTTGAAATGAATGATAAATATCTATCGTTCTACTGATAAATTTCTATGACAATTTTGCAAGGTTGAACTAAAGGTAAGGTTGAGCAAATGTAAGGAAAGAGACTGAAGAGTAAATGGCAGCAAGTTATTCCCCCACTAGAAAAATGGGGGAAAAAAGAGAGTACAGGTAAAACAGGTTACAAATTGTTATGCTCAGAATCTTGTTTATGGGCAAAGGAAGCACACCTTACCTGTGTAAGTAAAGCCAAGAATTTATTGTTAGTATAATGGAAATCTTAACGGTCTGGTTCAAGAATCACCATTAGTCTAGATCTAATTACTATTTTAAAAAATAATAAAATGTAGTTAGAGTACTTATATACAGAAGAAGTCTCAATAGTATTATTATTAAAATTAAAATGGTAACACACACTTCTTAGTTTCTATTCCTTTTTCTGGTGTTATGGTCACCCTTCCACTGTTTCTCTAAGTCCTGAGATGGGTGGTTTCCCTCTGGTGTTGGCTTTGTGATGGGGGTTTCAGTAAGTTGTCAGCATCCGGAGTTCTTCACTGGGAGGAGTATGATGCTCGTCTTGATGGCCAAAGAAGAGCAACGAAGCTGGTGAAGGGTCTAGAGCACAAGTCTTATGAGGAGCGGCTGAGGGAACTGGGGTTGTTTAGCCTGGAGAAAAGGAGGCTGAGGGGAGACCTTTCACTCTCTAACAACTACGTGAAAGGAGGTTGTAGTGAGGTGGGTGTCGGTCTCTTCTCCCAAGTAACTAGCGATAGGACGAGAGGAAATGGCCTCAAGTTGCGCCAGGGGAGGTTTAGATTGGA